TTGCTCCGCGGCATGTGGGATCTTCCCAGACCAGGGCTCAGAACCCGTGTCCCCTGCATCGGCAGGCAGATTCTCAACCACTGCGCCACCAGGGAAGACCGCTTATGGTGCTTTTTAAGGGGCTTTTACTTGGTTTTAAGTTTTTTTGTATTTTTGCAGTACACGGGCCTCGCACTGTTGTGGCCTCTCCCGTTGCGGAGCGCAGGCTCCGGATGCGCAGGCTCAGCGGCCATGGCTCAAGGGCTCAGCCGCTCCGCGACATGTGGGATCTTCCCGGACTGGGACACAAACCCGTGTTCCCTGCATCGGCAGGTGGATTCTCATCCACTGCGCCACCAGGGACGCCCCGGTTTTAAGTTTTTGTGTGGCCTGACCTGTTGCAGGCATTCAATAAAGTTTCATGAGTGAATTGGCCTTTGATGGAAGACAAATTGATACAGCAGAAAGGACCTGCGTTTTGTAGTGGTTTCGGGTTCCAGTCCCAACTCTGTCATTTTACTATCTCTTTGATCTTGGGTAAGTTACACTGTGACCTTGGTTTCATAATTTGTAGAATGGGATTGACAATACCTAGCTCACCAGATTATCATGAGGAATTCGTAAGATGTATCAATATTAAAGTTGCTAGGTAAAGGTACCAGGCTCAAAGGAGGCGTACATTGGATTGAGCCTAAGCTCTTTTCAGCTACTGTTTTGTATAGAGACACCTAGACACAGCTGTATGCCTTTTCAAGAACCAATAAGAAGAGATAATTGGGGCTTTTTTTTTTCCTCTGCAGGGCTGTGCTTAAGAGTTAAACTTCAGCGGTGTTTACCGTTTAAACATAAGGTAAGGAATGTGTTTTTTGTTGTTGTTTTATAATAGCTTTGTTGAGATTTGATTCACATATCATACAACCACCTATTTAAAGTATAGAATTTAATGTTTTTTGGTATATTCACAAAATTATGCAGCCATCGCTACTATCAATTTTGGAACATTTTCATCATCCCAGTAAAAAAACCCATACCAATTAGCAGTCATTCCCCATTTCTCCTAAACCCTCTCCCATCCCAAGGCAACCACTTTTGTCTCTATAGATTTGCCTATTCTGGGTGTTTCATTTAAATGGAATCATATACTTTGTGGTCTTTTAAGACTGCCATCTTTCACTTAGAATAATATTTTCAGAATTCATTCATGTCATAACATGTATCAGTATTTCATTCTTTGCCTTGCCTTGTACTGTTCTTTTGTGTAGATATCACATTGTATTTATTTGTTTTATAATTTGGTAGACATTTGGGTTGTTTCCACTTTTTGTCTTTTATGAATAATGTTGCTATGAACCTTTGTGTGCAAGTGTTTGTGTGGACATGTGTTTTCATTTCTTTTCCACCGAGGGCATATGTTTTCCATTTCTTTTCTTCCTGGATTCTATGGTAACTCGACGTTTAACCTTTTGAGGAACTTCCAGACTGTTTTCCATAGTCACTTCACCCTTTTACATTCCCACCAGCAGCCTATGAGGGTTCTGATTTTGGCACATCCTTGCCAATACTTATCATGATTATCTCTTTTTTTCATTATAGCCATCACTAGAATGTGTGAAGTGATATCTAACTGTGGTTTTGATTTGCATTTCCCTGATGGGTGACAATATTCATCCAAAAATTTAAAACCAATTAAGAACCACTTAAAAAGGGCCACAAGAAACCTCTCAAATTTAGAATCTTCTGTGGACCAAACCAACTGTTTGGTTACCCTGAGGTATAGTTTGCATAGGAATAGCAAGGTAAATGCTTGACTCTTCCCCTTTATTTACCGTTTTTCAGAATAATGCGTCGTGCATAATTTTAAGCCAAAGTAAATGAGTATAGAGTGATTTTATACCACTTCCTTTGTTGTTTAGTATAAGAGTTAGTGTTATGCCACTGGGGGAATGTATATGGTGTTTTGGCTTTTAAAGAAGACTGGACTAAATGGTCTCTAGGGTCTCTTAGAGCCATAATAGGCTATGATTTTCCCCCCTCATGAAAAACATTTATCTCAGTAGTAAATAAGTATATGAGAATTATATCACATGCTCCAATGTTCCCTGAAAATTAGACATATCTTTATGATGTAGCATGATTTATTTACCACAAGATTTGCAATAATTTTGTGGGTTTGTCCCAAAAGCTCTGGTTCTTGGAGGTTAGCTAGTTTAAGGGAGTGAGTGCAGCAGGACCAGGAGAGATAGCTTAACCAGTATTGTACTTGAGAATAAATTTATCAAGATAATAGTAGATGAGAAAAGGAGGATACTGAAAACTATATATTGTGATCCCATTTTTGTAAAGTACACAATAAAAAGAAACTTCGAGCCTTGGGGTGTGTGTGTGTGTATGTATGTAATGTGTGTGTGTGTGAAATCTTAAATTATGTGGGTATAGAGAAAAATATGGAAGAAAGTACACTAGATTATTATTATTATTATTTTTTTTTTTTGCGGTATGCGAGCCTCTCACTGTTGTGGCCTCTCCCGTTGCGGAGCACAGGCTCTGGACGCGCAGGCTCAGCGGCCATGGCTCTCGGGCCCAGCTGCTCCGCGGCATGTGGGATCTTCCCGGACCAGGGCACGAACCCGTGTCCCCTGCATCGGCAGGCGGACTCTCAACCACTGTGCCACCAGGGAAGCCCCAACACTAGATTATTAATGTGGCTTTCTTGTGGGGTGGGGCAGGGAGAAAGTTTAGATACTGATTTGGGAGGAAGAGGTAGACTGCAGGGGATATATATTGTTGAGTAAAACATGTATGAGATCTCACTTGTATAAAATTGTAGGTTTGTATTCATTAAAAAATAATGAATGGGAATACCCGCCGCGGGCCTTCCCCACATGACCAAAATAAAAAATCCTACTAACTTCAGCCCTCATTTTAGAGAAGAATGTGAAGATTTGTCCCAAGTATTTGATGATGGAAACAGGATTTGGGCTTTCATCCCTAGACTCTTGAGTCCATTGTACATTCCACCTCACTCATCTTAGAATGCTCTAAATATTTTGCTTTTAATGTATTTTTTTCCTAGTTGGAAATCTACATTTCTGAAGGAACCCACTCAACGGAGGAAGATAGTAAGTGAATTTTGAACCATTATTAGAAAACAGCTTCATATAGTACTTTATCTTGGGTATTACGTTATTCTGCCAGCCAAGTATCTATTGGGTCATTTGCAAAAAAGAACAAAATCAGCTCTTAGCTTTTCCTAAGCTTTTCCTTAATCAAAGAAATTTTGATTAAACAATCTAAATTAATGGGTTCTTCTTTACTTGTACTTTGTTCAGCTTGTTTTAGGGGACAGTGGTCATTTGAAGTGTAACTAGAGTTAAGCCCTGTGGATATTGACTGGTTTAGGCCAGTGGCCACACATCTGTGAGGAATATCCAGCTCTAGGAACTTTGAATTACAAGCTCTAAAGAGAGCTTGATTCTTCTCTTTGGTGGCAGGATAGAGAGCTGTGTACTTGAAATTGAAATCAAAGGTCCAGCAAGTAAAGCTTTAGGGAATCTTGGGGTAGGTGTTCTCTTCCTGGGTTAATGTATTAAAATGGGAGTAGAGAAGCATTTTTTGTATAAAGGATCTCTAGCCTACAGAGAGAAATAAAGTGGCAGCCGCTTAAAAATAACAGAGGTGGGATTTAGGAAAAGCAAAAGTGGGATTACAGGGGATTTTTTTCTCTTTAAGTCTCCCCTTCGAGACTTATGAATAACTAGCCAAAACCTGTGTTAAGTTCTCAAGGAGTTAAATTCTATTTTAACAAGCTAATAAAATTACTGTCTGTTGCTGTGTATTGACATAGTCCTGCTAACTTTTGCCTGTGTGTTTTGTAGTCAACAAGCAGATAAATGACAAAGAACGAGTGGCAGCTGCAATGGAGAACCCCAACTTACGGGAAATCGTGGAACAGTGTGTCCTTGAACCTGACTAATAGCTGTTTTAAGAGCCACTGAACTGGAATCATTTGATATATTTGTTTAAACTCTTTGTAAAATGTAAAATAGTCATGTTTAATATGTAGGTGATTTGTACCTCAGTGCTTTTTTTTAAACGATGATTTCCAAGCAAGATTTAATTATAAGGTAGTACCTAGTTTGTTCAGTGTTTAACATTCTCAGGATTTGTAACACTTAAATGATCGACAGAAAAATATTTTCTAGTAATTATGTGTCAGATGAGTTGCTATTTTTCTGATGCCCATTCTGATACAACTGCTTTTCATGTCAAATATTTACTGTGCCCAAATGTATTCAGTTTAAATCATTACTCTGTAAATAAATAAAACAGAGATGATTCTTGTATACACCTTAAATGTTTTTATTTAATTGTAAATTTTAGTGTAAATATTAGCACTAAAAGATATTTCCAAAGCTTTATTTTCTGATTATTATGTAAAATCAGAGATAGGAGAACCAAAAAGAACCCTTAATATCAGGCCTGGGCCCTGACTTCCTTCAAGAAGAGTCCTGGACCCATTTATAGATAAGGAACAAATGTGAAGAGGGCCAGGTGACATATATAGTTTTGAAGATCAAGAAGTCCCCAAAGAAATTTTGATTAAACAATCTAAATTAATGGGTTCTTCTTTACTTGTACTTGGTTCAGTTTGTTTTAGGGGACAGTGGTCATTTGAAGTGTAACAGGGTATGTTAGGAAGCTTCCGAGGTGCCCCCCCCCAATGATCCTTGATTCCTGATATTCGAGCCCTTGTAGTTTCCTTCCATATTGAACCAGAACTGGTTGCCATGACTAAAAAAGAATCAGAGGTGACGTGTGTGATTTCTGAGTCTAGATCATAAGAGATGTTACTGCTTTCACCTTGTGATCACTTGAGTTGCTCGTTCTGCAGGAATCCAGCTGCCATGTCCTAAGAACACTCAGACAGCCCTGTGGACAATTCCACATGGAGAGGAATTGAGGCCTTCCACCAACAACGAGCACCAACTTGCCAACCATGTGAGGGAACCACATTGGAAGCCATTGTGAAGCCTCAGTCAGGCTGACATCTTGACTGGAACCTCACTAGACCCTGAGCCAGAAGCCACTCCCTAATTCCTGATGCAGAGAAGCTGTGAGTGATAATAAATGTTTATTGTTTACAGCACTAAGTTTTGGTGTAATTTTCCATGCAGCAATAAGTAACTAATATACAAGGTATTAGAATAGAACTCTTCTGCCTCAAATTTAATTGAGGATTCTAAGGGGAAAACATGAGAACTTGTTCCATGGCTCTTGAACCCCTTTATCCACTTCAAGAATATGTGTTTTGAGAGAACAGAGAGGATTTGGTAAGAAGATTGATGAAGAGATTTCTTTGGTTAAAGCTGTTGCTATGCTGAGTTCCAATCCCCGTCTTGGTGGAAGGGTGAGGAAATGACACCTTCTACCACTATCTGTGGAGGGGAATTTCAAGAGGACAGCTCAGAGAGTTTGTAAATGTGTCCTCTGCAGTTGAGAGAGCCAGAAAAGTGGTGCCTGACTCAGGCCTGAGAAAGCAAGCAGAAGTGGGCTGAAGGCTGGGAACTGGCTCCTGCCCAGGAAATCTAGAGGGTGAGAGAAAGGCAAGGCTAACTACCTTGATGACAGAGCCCTGGGATGCACAAATGTTTCTCGTGGACCATGCTGTGGGGTCATATTTGACATTGCTCAACAAGCCATCAGCAGGGCCAAGGAGACCTCAGAGAAAGGGTCTGGAGGTGTACCGCCTGGTGCCCAGGGACTGAGGAGAGAAGACGGCAAGTGAGCAGCCAGGATGGAGATGCTTCTGCCAGGGTCAGGGGGCACAGCGGGAATGCCTGGTAAGCGTACGAAAGTGCCAACCTAAGAGAAAGAGCCAGCTCTAATCATCAGGCAGAGAGAGCACGAAGCCAAGCAGCTACGTAAGATCTGTCCCATCTCTGGTGCTCCTCCCTCCCTCAGCTCCCGCAGTGGCAAAGTTGAAGAGGGGGAAAGAGGAGAGAGCAGAGGACCCCATCCCATGGCTCCGCTGGAGGTTTCAAGCCTGAAGCAAGCTCAAGTTAGGAAAGAGTTGATGCCAAGTTTGTAGTTCTAACTATTAGATGTGACTAGATAATTCAGTGTAATGAGATTGTATGGTTAAAAGTGACAAGACGACTTAATCTGACAGAAGTCATATGTCTGCCCAAGTCTTCACCCATGGGCAGAGGAAGATCATGCCTTCTCAACAAAGTTTCAAAGGATTAGTGGGGGACAAAAATAAAATCAATTCTTACACAACATACTGGTTATAGAAGTCCTATTAAAACCATCTTGGGGACTTCCCTGGTGGCGCAGTGGTTAAGAATCCTCCTGCCAATGCAGGGGACGTGGGTTCGAGCCCTGGTCCGGGAAGATCCTACATGCCGCGGAGCAGCTAAGCCCGTGCGCCACAACTACTGAGCCTGCACTCTAGAGCCCGCGTGCCACAACTACTGAAGCCCGCACACCCAGAGCCTGTGCTCCACAACAAGAGAAGCCACCGCAATGAGAAGCCCGCGCACCACAACGAAGAGAAGCCCCCGCTTGCCCCAACTAGAGAAAGCCTGCGTGCAGCAACCAAGACCCAACACAGCCATAAATAAATAAATTTTAAAAAATCCCCAAACCATCTTGGCTTCTGCTGAGGCTCTGCACTGTGGGAATATCCCAGCAGAGCTTCATCCCCGTGATCTTCCTCTCTTGAGAAAAACCACTAACATTGTGGTATCTGAGCACCAGCTTTGTGGCAATGTCACTGTCGATTCTTAATCTTTTGCTGTGAAAGCTCTCATTGGCTCCTCTCTTTCTTCCCAGATCTTTAAAAATTGGTTATCCAGCATACATAAATAGATCCAGAAGTAATAAAATATTGCTGATTTTTAGTCATCATTGTAATCACTTCTTTCTAAATTACAAATCCACTGGAAAGGTCCTTAGGACCAGCACTAAGTTTCCCACTTCATGGAAGTCTGCCATCCAGGGCAAGAGCTAATAGTACCTGGTGAACACCCTGTCCCATATTCTCCCACCCAGTGCACACGTGCACACACAAATGCTTTTTGACCAGCTGTCTGCCTCTACAAGATACGACAAGCATCATCTGAGTGGGCTCTGAGGCTCACAGACCAGGGTCAAATACACATTGATCCCCAAGTACTGACCGTTTCTCATCCCTGGAGCCTTATCTAGGGCTTAAAGAGTAGGGCTGTCTTTATATCTTCTAATGAAACCCTGATAACATGAAAATCTCATTGCCAGTTTCAGGTGGCTGGAGTCGATTGAAGTCAGAGATCCCTAGTGTATGCTCTTACCAACTCAAGCACTTACTCACTGGTGCTCTCACCGACAGATACTTAGTGAGCACTTTTTAAGTATCAGGCACTGTCTTAGGTGCTAAGGATACAAAGATGGATCAGCCGTTGTCTGTCTTCCTTCAGTTCATGCTTACCAACGTCTGCATCCAGCCCCCTCTTCCCTGCAGGCAGTGAGTGATGCAGGCTGTCCCGTCTAGTGTCTGAGCTTGTCCTCGCCAGGCAGACATGGAGGCTAGTCAACCAGAACCAAAGACAAAATCACCCCTTAAGGGACTGTCTGGTGAGGAAACCAGTGATGGTACAACCAGAAATGTGTCACTGCTGCAGGCACCCCCATCCTGCTGGCCCTGCTGCTCTTCAAAGTTAGCTGTAACTGCTGTACTCGCTGCTACTGTCAGAATGATATCTCTTCTATCCCTGCTATTTTGTGTGACTCACTCCAGCTGCAAAGTCCTAGATGGGGTCTCTAATGGACTGATCCCAAGTCCCATGTCCATGTCCTGGCCGCCAGGGAGGCAGGAGAAAGGAGTATCTGGCCTGTATGAGGAGTCCGTCTATCTCCCAGCAAGACTTAACATGGTAGGAATTGCTCAAATACATCAAGAGGGTTAATGTAGTCTGATGACTAATGTCCACTACATTAATATTATATTTAAATGAGTTTGTACTTTATCAACCATAACAGCATCTACATACAAGTGAAAAATAGAGGTCCATAAATTCACAAAATGTGTTTGCTGGCAGGGTCAGCAAATTGTTTCAGAGAAGGGCCAGATAGTAAAATTTCAAGCGTTGCATCTCTGTTGCAACTATTCAACCCTGCTTTTGTAGCACAAAAAGCAGCCATGACAATATGTAAATGAACATAGCTGTGTTCCAACAAACATTTATTTACGGACACAGATTTGAATTTCTTATAATTTTTATGTAGTGAAATAGTCTTTTGATTTTTTTCAACCACTTAAAAATATAAAAACCATCCTTAGCTTGTGGGTTGTACAAAAGCAAGCATTGGGCTGGATTTGGCCTGTGGGTCATTTGCCAGGTCCTGATCTGTAGGGATGATTCTTAACCTTTTTGGAAGGTCTCAGACCTCTTTAAAAATCTTATAAAATATATGGAATGGACGCTTTCCCTAGAGGAAAGAGGCACTCACATGAAACTTTGCAAGTGATTCCAGCACTTTCATGGATTTGCTAAGGAGTAAATAATCCTGGTCTCTAAATCATGCTAGCTGAGCCCTTGGGCTCCCATTCCTTTAAGAACTCCTCAGAGCCCAGGGGTTCACAGCCTTGGTTGGGAATCACTATCTAGTTAAGTAATCAGAGGCTTTCTCAGCTCCACTGTGGAGCAACTGCTATGTGACCCAAACCGCTGATGTCTCCAGCAGGAGCAGGATACACCTAACTGTAATTAGGGGAGGACTATCTACTAGGAAGGGGAAGGATTGCTGTAATAGTGGCCTTGCATTCATAGCCCAGTTGGTGTCCCTCATGTGTTAATACAACGACAGAAAACAAGCCAGTGAACTGTGAGGGATGAACCTCATCACTGACACAGCACTACTAGAAACAACTCTATTTTTTAAGCTGCAGGTGGGTGCTGAGTATCTGTTATTTTTTACATCTTTTTTAATATATATATATATATTTTTTTATCACTCTGGCTGCCATGTAGAGAATAGAGTCATTCCTTGGTATCCTCAGGGAATTGGCTCAAGGACCCCTACAGATACCAAAATCTGTGGATGCTCAAATCCCTTACATAAAATGGCATAGTACTTGCATCTAACCTACGCACAGCCTTTCATATACTTTATTTTATTATTTTTTTAACATCTTTATTGGGGTATAATTGCTTTACAATGGTGTGTTAGTTTCTGCTTTATAACAAAGTGAATCAGTTATACATATGTTCCCATATCTCTTCCCTCTTGCGTCTCCCTCCCTCCCACCCTCCCTATCCCACCCCTCCAGGCGGTCACAAAGCACCAAGCTGATCTCCCTGTGCCATGCGGCTGCTTCCCACTAGCTATCTACCTTACGTTTGTTAGTGTGTATATGTCCATGACTCTTTCTCGCCCTGTCACAGCTCACCCTTCCCCCTCCCCATATCCTCAAGTCCGTTCTCCAGTAGGTCTGTGTCTTTATTCCTGTCTTACCCCTAGGTTCTTCATGACATTTTTTTTTCTTAAATTCCATATATATGTGTTAGCATACGGTATTTGTCTTTCTCTTTCTGACTTACTTCACTCTGTATGACAGACTCTAGGTCCATCCACCTCATTACAAATAGCTCAATTTCGTTTCTTTTTATGGCTGAGTAATATTCCATTGTATATATGTGCCACATCTTCTTTATCCATTCATCCAATGATGGGCAGTTAGGTTGTTTCCATCTCTGGGCTATTGTAAATAGAGCTGCAATGAACATTTTGGTACATGACTCTTTTTGAATTTTGGTTTTCTCAGGGTATATGCCCAGTAGTGGGATTGCTGGGTCATATGGTAGTTCTATTTGTAGTTTTTTAAGGAACCTCCATACTGTTCTCCATAGTGGCTGAACCAATTCACATTCCCACCAGCAGTGCAAGAGTGTTAATATATAAAATATTTTATAATTAAAATGTTAAAAAACCCGCTGGATCTCACCTGGGCCAGTGGTTGTCTTTGACTCAGGTTAGGCTGCCTATAGGGCAGAGGTGAACTCAGTCCCTGTGTGAACTTGTTTGGGAGAGATGAGCTAGGGGAAGGGGGAGGATAGCAGTTGCTGTGTGGGC